CATTTTAAAAAATCAGTGGTCTCCCCCATTACAATCATTTTGGAATTTTGGGGCTTTCTTAATCTCAAACTACACTGAATTTTGGCACCATGAAAGCTTATACAGTGTTTCCCACTTACCATGGTCACCATGAAATGACACCAAATGTGGAATTTGTCGAGGCCAACTATAATGTGACAAAATATTTTGATAAAATCTATTCGTTTTTGTTTTATATGCAACAAACAGATTTTGATCATTTTTATGTCTCCTCCGTAACTTCTTTATTTATGAAAATATTCAAATAGGGATTTCACATTTCCATGGCAGTTTTTCAAAGTGATTTCGAAAAAAATATGAAATTTATACCAACTCTTCTAGAATTTGAGATATCAGCAACAACTTTGGTTTTTCAAATGTAGGTCATAGCTCACTATGCCTTAGTTACAAATAACTTTTTTTTCTCTTACAGATGATTTGTCGCAGTAATAGTTTTGTGTTGATAACAACGGAGCTATCGTCATTTATACAAAAACAAAAAATTATTTGAAAGCCGTCATCTTGAATTTATGAATTTCAACAAAAAAATCATGATCTCCGACCTCAAAAACCCCCACTTACCAATTTTGAATGGAATCGGACCAAATCTTGTCCGCCATCTTGGAGCAGCCATTTTTTTCAATTTCAACAAAAATTCCATAATGTATTGTCACCGAAATTATGAACACCTGCCAAATTTTAAGTTAATCGGAGTTATGGAATTTTTGTTGAAATTAAAAAAAATCGCTGCTCCTAGATGGCGGACAAGATTTGGTCCAATTCCATTCAAAATTGATAAGTGGGGGTTTTTGAGGTCGGAGATCATGATTTTCTTGTTGAAATTCATAAATTCGAGATGGCGGTTTCCGAATAATTTTTTGTTTTTGTATAAATGACGATAACTCCGTTAATTGTTAATGTTATCAACACAAAACTATTACTGCGACATATCATCTGTAAGAGAAAAAAAAGTTATTTGTAACTAAGTCATGGTGAGCTAGGACCTACATTTGAAAAACCAAAGTTGGTGCTGATATCTCAAATTCTAGAAGGGTTGGTATAAATTTCATACTTTTTTCGAAATCACTCTGAAAAACTGCAATGAGAATGTGAGATTCCTATTTGAATATTTTCATAAATAAAGAAGTTACGGAGGAGACATGAAAATGATCAAAATCTGTTTTTTGCGTATAAAACAAAAACGAATAGATTTTATCAAAAGTTTTTTTCACATTATAGTTGGCCCTGACAAACTCCACATTTGGTGTCATTTGACCGACCTCGTATCTCTCACCGTTAAAGAGATACCCATGGTGAGCATGGTAAGTGGGACACACTATTTATACCTATATATACAAGGTGATTCAGGTTACAAGGCATAAACTGAAATGGGAGATAGATCTCATCATTTCAATCAAAAAAGTTTACACAAACATTAGTCCGATCTCGTTCAGTAGCGGAGCTACAGGGGGTCAAAGTTCAATTATTTTTTTTTATTAATTGAAATATCTCGCTTACTTTTCAAGATATCATTTCGAAATTTGGTGTGGTCAATACTTCCTAGAAGATCATCATTTCAAGCATTTTGAAGATTTTAAAAATCTATAGGGTGATACGTTTTTGGAGGTAGTGGCTTCTTTATCCCCTCCAAACTTTTTCGTAGTACGCCTCTGGCATCTTCCAGTGATTAAATTGTGTGGATCGTTCAATTTAGAGGATTTTCTTTGCTCTTCAATTTTTTTCGACAAACGAACCGTTTTTGAGATAAATAAGCATATATACGTTCGAAAACATGTTAATTTTGCTTATGTTTCGCTTAAATTGTATTCTTTGACAAAATTCGTTGAAAATGCAACAAAATGTTCTAAGATTGCAATGTTCTTACGCACGAGTCTAATCTGGATAAGTAGCGGGGATACAGAGGGTAGAAGGTCAAGGTTGTTCTTAACCGACCAATACAACGTCGGGAATTATATTCGTATTAAGCCACTGGTTGAGCCCCATCCAGTTGTATCCATATTTCTTGTCTGATATCATTTGAAGAAATTGAAAAATAATATGGCATTCAACCTATCGGCAAGAATCTAAGGCCACACTTACTCTAAGCTTTGTTAATATTTATCTCCAGGTCTGTGTTAGATTTATCAATTATTGTTTATTTAGGTTGAATAATTTGCGTTAGTACAATGTTTTATTATGTTAATGTTTAGGATGGAAATCATAAAGTACATTTATAAATAAAAAAAAACAGATATTTGTTTTGATAGCTTACCTAACTTTAGGATGATACGGTTTTAAAAATTTTCAAAATAGTAGAATTTTTTTCACGGCAACTTTAGAAAACTGAAAAAAAAACTTGACTTTCTACCCTCCGTATCCTCGTTACTTATCCAAATTGGACTCGTGATTTCAATTTTAGTGAGTAGATTTCATTGCATTTTCAACGAATTTTGTCAGAGGATAAAATATTTAAGCGAAACCGAGAGCGAAACCGAAACATAGGCAAAATTAACATGTTTTCGAACGTATATGCTTATTTATCTCAAAAACGGTTCGTTTCTAGAAAAAAATTGAAGAGCAAAAAAAGCCTCTAAATTGAACGATCTACACAATTTGATCACTGAAAGATGCCAGAGACGTACTACGAAAAAGTTTGGAGGGGATAAAGAAGCCTCTACCTCCAAAAACGTATCACCCTGTAGATTTTGAAAATCTTTGAAATGCTTGAAATGATGATATTCTAGAAAGTATTGACCACACCAAATTTCAAAATGATATCTTGAAAAGTAAGCGAGGTATTTCAATTAATAGAAAAAAATAATTAAACTTTGACCCCCTGTAGCTCCGCTACTGAACGAGATCGGACTAATATTTATATAAACTTTTTTGATTAAATTGATGAGATCTATCTCCCATTTCAGTTTGTGCCTTAAAACCTGAATCACCTTGTATACAGTCTGTCCAAGATAAGGTTGAACAGCATGGGGATCTCGAAAACGGTAGGAGATACGAAGTCGCTTAAATGGGGAAAAAGTTGCGCATTCGGAGGCTCATATCAAGAGCCTTCGAAAATTTTGAAAATTATTCTTAGTTTTTGAGTTATATCGAAAAAAGTGAATTTTTGGAATTTCTATTTTATTTTTTTCTCCGTTATTATCAGAGATACAGAAAAACTGAAAATACTTTTTCATTGCAACTTTTGATGAGGTTTAACGTGGTGATACCGATTTTCTTATGCGACGTTTCGTATTCGTGGAACCATCATCAACTTTTGTTTTTTAAATACAGTCCTGATAATTTTTTCACAGATTCTGAAAGGTTTTTTTATTCTGAATTCAACAATGTACTATACAAGGTGATTCGAATGTGTTTCGACCTATTTCTATCCATCATCAATGTTTTTTCGAACTTCCAGAAGAAAAAAAGCCATCAGTTCCACTTATTTCTTATCATTTAGTGTCAAACTTGATGGACTAGTTATTCAATACTGAAAAGTGAATAAAAAATATTTCACTACATCATTCGATCAATGCAGCGTTTAAAATTGTTGATGAATTCTTACACGAATTACTTTAACAACTTAACTTTGACAATACCTACAGAGACATTCATAACAAATGTTCAAAATGATAACCATTATTTTCTGAACAAAGATATCCTCTTCTCACAGTTGTTTCTAAGACATTGCTAAGCATTTCTGGGGTTATTCTATTGAATGCTTCGAAGACACTGTCCCTTAGTTCTTCTTCATCCTCAAAGTTATTTGCGTGTACAAAGTTCGATATATCCCCTAAGAAAAAATCCAGCTGTGTTAAATCAGGCGACCGCGCCGGCCAAGGGATAAAAACGCACGGACTTCTCTGGAATTATGTACCGGAGCGCCATCTTGTTGAAACCAACAGAGTTCTGAACTTCCGCAATCGGTAAATCATCCAGAGCTTCCTCAAGATGATTCTCAAGCGAATTTCTATAACGTTCGGAAGTCTGTGTTTCATGGTAAATAGAAGGAACAATAATTCGTGTACCAAATATTGCAACCCACATAAAAGCCGAAACGGTGTTGGTGTCTCGCTGTAATGTATAAATGTTCATTTTCTCGTGAACAATAATGTGTATTTTTTCTATCGAAGCTACCATGATTAGTGACCATGCTTTCATCAGTCCAGATGATTGTTCGAAAGAAATCTGCAAAATTTTAACATTTCCTGGTATACCACTCACAGGATGTCTTGCGCCTTTCGTCATCTCCTGGTTTTAGCGCTTGACATATTCTGAATTTGTATGGATGGAATTTTTGTTTCCGCAAAATGAAATGGGTTGTTGATTGAAACCAGTTGATGAGGTATTAGTGTGTTGACTAATTTTCCTTCAAAATAAGTGGAACTGATGGCATTTTTCCTTTGGAGTTTCGAAAAAACATTGATGATGGATGGAAATAGGTCGAAACACAAATGAACCACCTTGTATAATACATGGTTGAATTCAGAATAAAAAAACCTTTTAGAATCTGTGAAAAAATTATCAGGACCGTATTTAAAAAACAAAAGTTGATGATGGTTCCACGAATACGAAACGTCGCATGAAAAAATCGGTATCACCACGTTGACCGTCATCAAAAGTTGCTATGAAAAAGTATTCTCAGTTTTGCTGTATCTCTAATAATAACGGAGAAAAAAAAATAAAATTGAAATTCCAAAAATTCACTTTTTTCGATATAACTCAAAAACTAAAAATAATTTTCAAAATTTTCGAAGGCTCTTGATATGAGCCTCCGAATGCGCAACTTTTTCCCCATTTAACCGATTTCGTATCTCTTACCGTTTTCGAGATCCCCATGCTGCAACCTTATCTTGGACAGACTGTATATCCATTCTTTTATGTTCATAATTCATCTGAGAATATTCCTTTTCAAACGTTATCATTGGGTTAGTACGGTCATCAAGAAAAAACTCTCATTGATCATTATTATTTTTTCTTTCTAGGTTTGTGGTGGTTCCTTCACAACTAAATCGAGCTTGAAGAAACACATTAGAAAAATTCATGCTGATTATAGAAAAAATGAAGTTTATGAGTGCAATATATGTCCCGAGATTTTCTGTAACATTCAGTCAAGAATGAAACACGAGTCAGCGCATATTTCTTCGAAGTCATGTGAAATATGTAAGCTAACCTTCGCTAATCCAAGTGTGACACGTAGACATTTGAGAGCCCAACATTATAACACCGAAACTTGTCCATATTGTATGAGAAAATTCCACAAAAGTATGTTAGATTCCCATATCAAAACCGTACATCAAAAAAGGGATTGTCGAATTTGTAAATCATCCTTCAGAAATAGTATATCCTGGGCAAAACATAACTTGGAACACCAACACAAACATAGCAAACAATGTAATATCTGTGGATGCAAGTTGGATGGTATCGACATAGAGAAACATAACAAGTTACATCTAGAAGGAAAAATACATCATTGTACTATATGCAACAAACTGTTTGCCAACATTAAACGTCATCAAGCTAATGTCCACAAAAACACTGATTACATATATTGCAAAATGTGTCCAATGAAATTTCCTACTTCCACAGCTCGCATCAAACATTTTAGAAGAATACACGAGTATGTTGTGAAAGTATGTTCTATATGCAGACGCAAGTTCAGGTCTTTCGAAGAATTGCGAGAACACCTATCTGTCCATCACAATACATCTTACAAGTGTAGGATTTGTCACGAACCGATATTCTCTTTGATGAGTCTACGAGATCACGAAGTCCAACACGCAGGAGTGTCAGTCAGTGCTCAATCTGGCAGCACACGTGCATTCAAGTGTCAAACGTGCGGGAGAAAGTTCAAATTCTTGGACTCTTTAGAGAATCACAAGTGTAGAAAAGGCATGTACTACTGTCATTTATGCGATGTCAGGTACTGCTCACTGCCAAATGTCAAACGTCACATGATAAATCATCACACCCCGAGGGTATATCTCGACGAACAAGAAGAAGAACAGTTGGAAAAGAACCGACTGAGACTGATCAACCTGTTGCGCGGCACGAAAAAGAAGTACCAGTGCAAGAAGTGTCATACATCGCTAGCTTCATTGGAAACATTCAAAAAACATTATTGCAGATTCCAAGTCTATAAAGGTAGAGGGCGAGAGCCCCTCAAGAAAAGGAACACTAAGTTGGAATGTGAATATTGTGGATGGTTGAGTTATAATAAGAATAAGCTGAGGAACCACATTGTCAGGAAGCACATCATGAAAAAGAGTTGTGACGATCAAACTGAGAATCATGATAAATCAGATTCAAATGAATCTGCTACTACCGAGATTATTTATATCAAAATTGAAAAATCAGATGATGACTGAGTCATTTCTCTGTCCTAGATATTGCACAAAAGTTTTCTATCTCTAATCATAAAAAAGATTCGAGCATCATGTCTATGAATAAATCTTTAATATCAAACGAGATCATTTTCAATTATTGTACACCACATCCATTTTTGGCAATGTTTCCTATAAGTACAGTACATTCGAACATAACTATACGAACCTATTGTATAAGGTGTCCTAGTTTGTCTATGCGGATGGAATCCGGCTGTACTCAGCATTTTTCTTAAAAATGTTTGATTCTTGGTTGTAATCCTGACAGCACCCCGATGCCCTATAGGAGTGGTTCATATTTCACTATCAGCTGTAGGTCCCGCTCTTCCTAACCCCACAAAAGTTTCGACATCTGAGGAGTTGGTTCCCAACTCCGAGGTAGCGATATACAATTTTTTTGTTTCTTTTTTACATTCGAACACATCCAACATCGCCCTCGGGAATCAACTGAAGATTTATTTGCTCACGTAACGCATATATGGCATGCTTCATTAGAAAATCACGGGGAACTGCTAGCTGTGGCGTTAGATATGTTGAAAGCATTTGACCGTGTTTGGCACTCTTGCCCTGTTCTAGTGTCTTTCAGACAAATAGATAGCCCCATGTGTTGGTGGACGCAGTAGAGAAAAACAAATACTTTGGCTATATGCCACGCAGAACATTGAACTACGCATCTTCCCGAAATGTATGCAATGATTCGTATAGACGAATCAAATCGCGAGTGATTCTTCCTGAATCCTGAATTGTGCTTATATTGTTTGGAATCGCTTGACTACCTACAGAACGGTTTCGAGCTTCTTTGGCTCTCATCAGTGCAGGGTTATCTCATTCATGACCGCTATCTCTGGTGCGAAACTGTCCCAACGTAAACACATCCCGGTATTCAAAACCCCAGATGGACGAACGTCACTTGAGCGGAATACCTTTTCTTAGTTGATATACAGGTGGATTGCCCCATACAATTTTTCCAAAATATAATCACTTGAATATCTTTCTAGCCCCACGTTGGGCGCCAAGTTGTTGCAAAACCGGTAAGTGATATGCCGGTTACGTAATGAAATCTCAGGTGTAGGGTACCAAAACTGAGGGAGGAGCAAGCAGTGATTTCTTCTGATAGTTTGAATTATTGTATCCCCTGAAAAGGGCATACATGACTTCAATAAATGTGTCTCTAACCATGAACTGGGAATTGTTCCAAACAACATTATCTACAAATTGAACTATGGAAACCTACATAAAAAGGACCTGATACCAATAATCTCAGGATAACATTCAAAACCAAAAGGTTCGCTTCTTGACTACTCATATACGCTATTTCGAACTAAGAAAACATCATCGGATTACGCATAGATTCACATGCGCAAGGCCTGTTCGTTTGTGCTTGCTCTACCTGCTGAACTTGTTTTTTCTTTATGACTTTCTCTGTCTACATCATGCCATCAACAGAGACAACTATGGAAAAAAATCAACTTCAGTAAGTTCAGCAATAGAAACGAACATCAGGCCTGCACTATCGCAATTTCGCAACACCAAACACGAATGATCAACCAAAAAAACGTTTCGTGAGTACTGGACCGAGAGACACGCAAACAATTTTGGGCTGAAATGCGGATGCAAACGACATCTTTTTATTGGATGAATATGCAAATAGTTCAAATAGAAAGATATTATCATGGTAGTACCATAATGATATGAAATGAAGAGAGTATGGACACTCTTGTCCTGCTACAAGTTCAAACGATTGTTCAGTCAAGAAGAGCATCGCCTTTTTCTTATCGAAAAATTAAGATATTAATAGTATAATTTTTTCAAACTAATGTTTGATTCCCTTAGATTCAACCCCACTCATAGTCGACCTTGATAAAAATGATCCTACACCATCTGTGGTTTCACTAACATCTTCATGTTCAAATGTCAAACAAGCATCTTCAGCAACATGAGGAAGTTATTACTCCTCGATGATATTCAGCTGTGATGTCCTTCATAGTTAGGTGTTTTGTGTGGATTGGTGAATTGGGATCAATCCGAATTCGCGGATGAATCCTCCAATGCACTATCAGCTCCGGCAAGGCTTTTAGGATGAAAACATTAAAACATTTTCGAGTGTCGAACGAATCCAAATTCGCCACTGACATAACTATCTAGACCGCCAATGGTCATATCCCAGCAACCAGAAAATCTCATTCAAATTGCTTGCCTGAAAAAACTTCTGCTCAACGCGTAAACAGTCGTTCATGACATCGTTTCTTGGTGTTCAGAAACATAAGTTAGAGTGAGATCCTGAATGATTCATGCTCTCCAATTCGACCTCGTGAGTGACCTAGATTATTTCGCATATCATTAGCGGTCTAGATATTAGTTATATGGCAGTGGAATTAGCGGATAAATCATTCAGTGCAGCATCGAGCCTCAACACATTCACACGTTCAAGTTTCAAACCCAAACGTGCAAGGAAGTTGGAATGATATTTTGTGTATCGCTACAACTTTCAAGTTTGCTTCGTGTGGATTGGTACATTGGGATAGAGTCTCATTTGATTGGCCCAACAATAATTCATCATTGATTAGGAACATAGGAGAAGTTTCATTCCTCGGGGATATGCTTTGAATAACAAGGCGACGAAATTCTTAGATAACATTGGATTGAGATATACCGGGTGACACAGGTGACATATGTAACAGCCTGTAGATTTTTTATTTAAAGAGAAGAAGATTTGAAATTCACAAGGTTTATATGATGATGATGTCGCTTCCCTTGAAGCCAATGACAAATTTGCTTCAACCACCTGTTTGATGGGAAGGCTTTATTGAAATCCAAAGATCATTACTAGACGATAGTATCAGAATATTTTCCATAATCGGTCTCAGAAGATTTCCAATAATTTCATTGAGTTTCATTTCATTTTTGCCATGTAGCCATAATATGATCATCCATTTGGATACATGAAACTGAAATTGTTGTAATTGATGTATCGTTCTAATATCGTGAGTTATATTCGGATGATTTTTTCAAACCAATGAAATTATTGGCAATCTTCTGGGTCCGATTAGGGTATGGAAAATATTCTGATAATATCGTCTAAGTGAGGATCTTTGTATTTCTATAAGCCTAACATCGAAATGTCATCGTATTCGGGCCACAGCCAACTTCATGTATTTCAATAAAATGCAATTTAACAGCCAATTAATGAACGATTATCAAATTGTTATACATATTTAAATAGAGAATTCCAAGGCGAATAAGATAAATTACAGAAATATACGGGGTGCCATATAAAAAAAAAGTTGGGTCTACTTCCAATCAAACAGGTGGTTGAAAAAAATTGTAATTGAGTTCAAAGGAAGCGCCATCATCAATAAAAAAACCCTTGAGAATTTCAAATAAAAAAAATACAGGCTGTTACGTGTCTCCTGTGTCACCCCGGAAGATTAACATATAAGAACCAGAGTGCAAGAAGTGTTTATGTATCGGTGGCTTCGAGAATCACAAAAGTAGAGGTCAGTAGTCCCTGTTGAGAGTTTTGTGTTACAATATCATCGTAGAAACGTCGGCGACCTCTCACTTTTATATAGATACTTCCACTGCGAATGTTCCTCAGAAATCTCTAATCTCTGCTATCATTCCATCACTGGTAGTACCAGTCAGCCGAACTAGACAGGCCCAGTCAGCACATCCATTTGTTGTCAACTTTGAAATATGTCGAACGACACTCCAAAACGCGCTCGTCTATAGAACGGCATAGCTTTGAAATTCTTCACCTATAGAAGTATTCCGAAGTACAACAAAACTCCAACACCTACCTCCTCTCCCTATCCCCCCTAGGTACGCACGATGTTCTTCGATCATCATTGAATTTCTTCACGTGCGCTCCAAGAGATGAAGAAAAAAAAAAGAACAGTTTGAGAACCGACACTATAAGGATTCATATCTTGAATATAGGAGATGTGATACAGATGATGGCTGAGACATTTCTCCATTTATTTAGATTCAATAGGTTTTTGCACGCAAGTAGACGGTTCAAATACACTGTCAATTTGCACATGATGAATTGAATCACTCTCTAAGGGTAGAAATGACACAGCATCCTATTTGTGGCAAGGAAGTTGGATAATAATGAAAAGTTTGAAATCCGTTTTCCTCTTTATTGAGTTGAAATGATGTTTCAAACTGGAATAATACAAAATACATTCAAGATACATTGGAATGATAATGTAATTCAATCAACATTGATGTAAACTGTCACAGTTTTGACTCGATAAAAATAGTTATTTATTATAATAATAATAATAATAATAATAATAATATGTCTTTATTCATATTGCCAAGAATATAATACATAATTTTTCGTCGTTTTTTTATTGACAATATGTAAGGGCGGAATTCAGTCGCCCCTATCCGGAGATAATGGTGACTGCTCTTCCATCCAACCCATGATAAATCTTAGCATGTTCATGTTTCTCTTATTATTACATAAAATTGGTTGAGAATTTTGATTGAAGTGAATTTTAAATCTTACCAAATATACAAATTTTGTGTCATACAGAATATTTTAATTAAGTAGGTATGAATTAACTCTACAATGTAATACACCTATAAACATATTCATAATAAACTTGGAACACCAGATGAATAATAATAACAACAACAGAATAATAAAAAGGAAAAAAAAAAAAACAAAAAACAAAAAAGAAGTTAAATTGAAGTTAAATTGAAGGCAAAGAGTTTTGATGAAGGCAACTAGGGTGAGAAAAACACAAGTGAGAATATCAGAATATTCATTTGGTACATCGTACAAATTATAATTCATCAAACCTACCCTCAAATAACATTTTTTTCAGCGAGGTCTTGAATTTAAATCTATTCATGATTTTTAGGGAGTCAGGAATGACGTTGTAAATTTTTGAAGCATTATATGAGAAGGATCGTTGGTAGAGTGATGTATGGTGCCTTGGAGGGTTGAGGCGATGCCTATATCTAGTGTTGAG